ATGGGAGTCCAGTGACATAACCATTACGCTAACTGCTGGTCCCCAGGCAGTCAATATTCTAACCACTACCTCCCTTCACCCCTGAAGTCCAGGAGGGTTAGAAGCTTCCTGCTGTGGCTAGCTCTACAATGCCTCGCCACCTCAGTATTTTCCCTTCACTCTGCCCACATCTTTTTCTTTCTTTATTTTCCACATGATAGAAAGCATGTGTACATGCATGCAACAGAGAAGACAGAGAGAGAGGGACACCCTCCGCAGGGTCTTGTCATGCCACCGTTCCTTTCCTCCAGTCCCCCAACTTATGGGATTTGGGGCACCTGCGCACACTTGCACACGTGCCCAGCACATTTCAAGTAGACTGGGCCAGGGATCTGCATGTGCAGTTGGCCATGTGGCTTCCAGCACTGCAGTCAAGGACACTAGGACTGTGCCAACTAGGCTGAGCTGACCCCACCCACATCTTCATAAAACAGTCCTTCACTCCCTGTTCCTCAGATACCCAGTTTGCAATGCCATTTGCTTCCTGTTGGGACCTTGACCACACAGACACCATGGCTGCTTCCACAATTATCCACATTCAGGCCTCCCCACCTCAGCCGGGCCTGCTCTATTGAAGCAGACCTGGCGTGGTACCAACCCTGCACAGCTGCTATGCGTTGCAGAGTGGGAGAGGGTGTCTCTCTGCTGTTTCACCTTTAGAGAGGATCAGGAGGACGGTCTGCTGTGCTCCAGCATCTCCCAGGGTTTCCGGTGAGACAGCTCCTTCTTCACTTGTGTGAGGCCGAAGGAGTCAGAACTGAGAGGGGGAGATGCTGAGCTAGAGGAACCAAGGAACTGAGCTCTGGCAGAGAGGACACTGCCCTGGGACAGTGGTGGTGGAGGCAGCTGGATTCCACATGACCAATGACTTGGTTTGGGTCCCAGACCCTGTGGCTTGGAACACATGCCAGGCACATCTGCATGCGTGCCCGAAATCCTGAGAGGAAAAAGGATTGCATGTGGCTATCTCTCCTGGGAGATGCTGTCTCACTTTTTCTCTCTTTCTGTCTTTCTCTGGCAAGCACACATACCCTGGAGCAAAATTAAAATAAATAAATAAAGGTAGACTAAAGTAATATTTTATCAAAGAGCCCCCCAGCCACCCTGAAAAGTAGATATTATCACCCCAATTATGGCAGATAATTTTTGGTTATGATTCTGCAACATCTGCAGCTGCTTCCTGAGGCTGAGGAATCTGCCCTTGTGGGAGGGTCTTATCCTGGAAGCTGGGAAGGGGAAAGTGCTCCTCGCCTCTGGTAGTGGGAGCACCCACATGTGCTCCGGGTATAGCCCCTCAGATCCTCTCTTGGGACTTTTCAATCTAGATTGAACAATGTGACTGGAATTCCTCCTGGTGAGGCTGATGACGAGGGTGTCACTGTCCTCTATCACTGGTAGCACCGGGCCCACAACAGTACCGAGTATTTGGGGCCAAGCAGTGACCAACATGCCAGCGGAGGACGGTGTCCAGCTGCCTACCATCCACCTTGACAGAAGGGAAGGTATTGTAAATGCCATCCTGGCCCATTCGTTTTGCAGAGGTTCTTCGTCTTGCCAGCCTGCGACTTTCCCAACAATCCCTTTCCTTCTTCCATGGTTTGTGAATTTCCTTGAGGCTCGCCCTCCTTCGAACGTTCCAGTGATTCCTCTCTCAGGGCACTCGGCTTCTATCTCCTCAGAGCCTTGTTGCCTCTACAAAGATTTAACAACTCCCCCTCCACCCAACTTCTCTTCCACTATCCCCCTTCTGCCCACTTTGTGCCCAAACTATGCCAATGCAGGGCGGTTGGCGCTCTCACCAACTTGGAGCTGGTCTTGCTGCCACACATGCCTGCGTGGGCGTGAGCTGATTCATAAGTCTTGCTTAAGAGCAAGGGCCTGTAGGCAAGATGACAAAGGCTGGCTTTCATTTATTAGTGTTCCGCCTGCTTTTGGAGCGCTTCCTGTTCCAGACCCGCGTTAGAACATGTGGGAAGACCCAGGCAGGAGAGGCTAGGCCTTCAGGAAAAGATCCCTCATGGCTCCTGCAAACTAGTCATTTCAGGGTAAAAGAGAAATGAAGATTTCCTACTGATAATTCAGCCTCCAGAAAACAAGTTAGCGTGGTAGGCCAGCTCCTCTGGCCTTCTATCTCTGTCTCTGTGTCTCTGTCTCTCTCTGCTTCCGTCTTCTCATTTTTTTGTAATTTTTCATTTTTAAAAATTTTTTAAAGGTAAAATTTTTCTCTTGCTCTCAGCTCTGCCTTTTGTCTTGTTAATAATCCCCTCTGGTCCTCCTACCCAGGCAGGAGAGATGAGGCCTTCAGGAGAAGATTCCTCATGGCTCCTGTGGACTAGAGCGTGCCGCGCAGTTTTCTATTTTGTGCATCTTTTTTAAAAGAAAAACAATAATCTTTTTTTTTTCATTTTTTTCTGTCTCTTTTTCTGTTTCTTTGTTGTTGTTTCTCTCTCTCTCTTTCATTTTCTTTTTTCTTGTCTCTACACTCTTCAATATCCATTTACTGTGCTTCTGTATGGATCTAAGGGCACTGTAGCTAAATATCCATATACAATTAGAGTTAACATATTCCTCAATATTTACTGAATCTGCTGCACAAAGTGATCACAACAGAATGGCAAAGAGGTTCCAGATCACCTCTTTCTGCTTGCTCTTGAACGTTCAGATTGAACTTCAAGAATTAGGAAGAAACACACCATCCATCAGATGACTAGAAATCACCGCAGGACCACAAGAAATATGGGAAAGCAAGAAAATACCTCTCCTCCAAGGGAAAAGAATAACTCCTTTTCATCCACAAGCAGTTCAATGGAAATCATGGAAATGTCTGATAAAGAGTTTAGAACTTTCATAATGGTGAAGCTAACAGAGATGGAAGAGAAGAGAGACAATGAACTGCAGAAGAAAAAGAAGAAAGAAGCTGACGAGTTAGAGGAGGGGAGGAAATTCTTGCAAGATCTAAAAGAAGAATTACATACTTTAAAAAAAGAATCAAATGGAACTGTTAGAGATGAAGGCTATAATACAGGAAGTCAAAATCTCCCTTGAAAGTATTAAAAGCAGACTAGATCATACAGAAAATAGAATCTCAGAGACGTAGAAGAGAAAATTGCTGGTCTAGAAAAATCCACCACAAAGACTGAGAAAATTGTCCAAAAATTTGAGAATAATATACGAGAAGTACTAGATACCATCAAACGTCCAAACATCAGGATAATTGGCATTCCAGAAGGCGAAGAGACTCATAAGGACATTGATAATCTATTCCATGAAATCCTGCAAGAAAACTTTCCAAACCTAGAGAGGCATTCAAAGATCCAGTCCCAAGAACTATAAGGGACCCAAAATAGAATCAACCCAAGAAGATCTTCTCCGAGACACATTTATAGCCAGGTTGACCAAAACCACAGACAAAGACAAGATACTAAGACTGGCAAGAGAAAAACATCAAGTTACCTACAAAGGATATCCCATCAGGCTAACAG